CTGAGCAGAGGAATGAATGTAAGGTGTACTCAACAGTTTGATTTAGTTTAGTCTGAGCTCCAAGGCTCTTGGAAATATAATCTAAAGAAATTATCACACAGAGTGTTTATAATGGTTCACTAACTCGGAAGCTTAGTTAGTCTACTCTCAAGGGAGTCTCTTGCTCTTGGAGAATATATTGATAACTAAGGAGTTTACAGAGAGTATTTTAGTGAGGCTACCATTGCCTATTCTCCCTGTCGAGGGCTTTGCCTCTTATTTATAGTTTTTCCTGGGCCTAGCTTGATCTAAGGCGAGATTCTTGCCTATTTCTTGTAACGGTCGCCTCTATTGCGCAACGGTTGCAGTGGGAGTTGGGGTAGTTACGAGAATTGCACCTAATAAGTAATCGTTGCTACTAAGAGAGTATTTGGTGGAATTCAGCTATCATATGCACAACCTTCCTTGACATGCAAACATAGGGAGTTTGAGGTCTAAAGTTGAAGTCTATAGATAACTTGGATGAATTGAGCTCCCGATCTGAGAGAGCATGACCTGCATTACCGAGCTCAACCTTGGTCATATTTTTGGTATCATCAATAGTAATTCTAGCATATTCTTTGGTGGGTACTCCAAAACTGAAAACATAAGATTGGATGAACGCAGGTTTTCAATGAAGGCCGTTATGGCGACTTTGTCATCGGACTCTTCAATCTGGAGAGCTTCCTCATTAAAATGAGTGAAGTAACTCCTTAAACTTTCATCTCAGTCCTGCTTGATGCTGAGTAGGTGGGTGGCAGGCTTCTAGTGTTGACGTCCTCAAATGAAGTATGAGATGAAGGACTTGCTTAGTTCAGCAAAAGAGTTAATGGAAGTCGGGATAAGTTTGGAGAACCACAAACAAGTAGATCCCTTGAAGGTGATAGGAAAAATCCTGCACATGATTTTGTCTGGTATGTTGTATAGCTGTATCAGGGATTTATAGGTGTTAAAGTGGTCTAGTGGATTTTCGGAGCCAACAAAAACTTTCATGGTTGACATCTTGAACTTTTGGGGGATAAGGTAGTTGGTCACATCAGCTACAAAGGGCATGTCAGTACAAGGTATTAGCCGTTTTGGGCTTTTGCGCCTTTATGGCATTGAAGACGTCACTAAGTTGGTTCTATACTTCATTGATTTTTTCGTCCCATTAGTTAGAGACACCCTCTGAAGGGTTGTTAAAGTGGCTTTCACGATCCACATACTAGTTTTTCCCCACATCTTCTTTAGTAGAAGGGTTGCCAATGTGGAAGGACAGCGCTCGTACGTAAAGAGGGGGAACCGGGGTGCTTGGGTGCTGAGAAGGGGCGCCCTGGCACTAGGTTTCCCCCTGTCGGGGGGTGCCTTGTCGTCCAGGGCGAAATGCCTGGGGTGTTTCCCCTCTTGGGGATTGGGGCACGACTCCTTGAAAGTGTCCGACAAGCATCAACTAGAGGATCTTCTAGTTTTGGTTCAGCAACAACTATATTGTGTGAATAGTTGTTGTCCCACTATAGGGTTTGCCACAATGACAGGGTTTACTGGTGGGGGCGGGACCTCGTCGCAATGTGGTGGATCATTATCTTCTCCTTGTTGATTCATTGATCTAGTTGTAATGACCATAAAATGAAAATGGAGTAGAAAAAAATAGAAAAATAGTAGGGAGAAAACTAAGTCGTTTCCACAGATGGCGTCAAATTAATGATGCACAAAATGTGTTTATACACCACCTGGCAAGTACTTAATGCAGTAATTAGGAAAGAGACTCAACACAAGGAAACACAATTTAAGTGGTTCGATCAGAGTGACCTCCTCCACTATAAAGGGTTACGGTGGCTTTAGTATTTTATTACTCAAGGGGTGTAGAGTGCTCAGATGTGACTTATGATGTGAGAAATGCCCTCCTTGTGTAGGTGGAGTTTAAATTTTATAAGCGTCTCCTAATTGATTGAGGCGCCATCCATGTAACATGTGAGGTAATTCGGTGAAGGTAGCACTATTCTCGTATAGGCAAGACAATTTTGTGGAGGTAGTGATGTACGCGTCCCACAGAGATCTCCTCACGTGTCAGTTGTGGATTAACTCTCTCAAGATGGCACGGCTGATGTGACTCTCTCAAAATGGTGTGGCTGACCTTACTCTATCAAAATGGCACGACTGACCTTACATATCTTCTTTCATCCTGTGATGAGCTTAGCCTGTATGTTTGAGGTGGGCCTAGACTACGATTCTGGTTTGCACCTTTGAAATGGGCCTAATCTGGGATGGGCCCTTTATACGATAGATAAAAATTTGCGAAATCTGAATAATCAAGTCAGCTACGGTCGGATTAGTTCGGTTATGCGGAAATTTGAACACTCCCCTGCCAACGCCTCCTCCTTTCCCATGTACCAACATGAAACTCTCGCATCCATATCCTAGCCATGCGATCTAATTCAAAATCTGAATTGAAATAACTTTTAAGGGATGAACAGGAGGTGTGGCTGATTTGGTGGTGATGAAAGGAGAATGAAGGGTCGTGCGACACAAAGACAGGGGAGAAAGAGAGTGAGAGAGAGAGAAATTACATGAGAGGTAAGTCTGTTATCTTAACTTTAGGTTTCGTCTCCTTTAACAACTTTAGGGGACAAAATTTGACAAGAATGTAAGTACAACAGTAGAAACCAGAAGAATAATGTTTCTTACAAAATGTTACAGACTTGTTAACGAGGCACCTGGACCAGCAAACTTTGAATGTACGAGATCGAGGATTAGGATCTGCTATTTTATGGTTTTGCAATCAGAATCTCAGATCACTGAGCAAATCATTATGGAAATCTCATTCTATACTACCAAAGGGATAAGCATAAATTGCCACATAAACACTGCAGAGTTTCTTAATATTCTCTGCTTATTTTTTTAATGCCCTTCTTTGATCTTGTCGCTGGCATCAATGATTAAGGATTCTCAAATGAGGATGTTACATTAATTAAGGATCTTTTAAGCCTAACTTATTTCTGGGAAATGATCCGGTAGGTGTGAAAATATTGCCAAATAGACTCTTCCACGATTAAGGCTAAGGCTAAGTTCGGTTTGGGATGGGTCATACTGCATACAAACAAAAACACACTGTCTTAATATTAGTGATCCATTAGCGTGGGCATGAGAGGTAATCCTTGCCCTATCGATTAGATATCCTACATTACATTCTCTCTCTAGTTTATTTTCCGGTAGATCGTTTACCTTAAATTTAAATAAAACTCATTGTATATAAATAAGTCACTTGATTTGGTCGCAAAAAAAAAAAAACTTATTTAAAGTGGTGTTATATGAAGAAGACCAGGCGGCATGGTACATTTCTATTTCCCATTTGTTATGTTTAAGGTTTGCAGCTCACAGTCTTTTCTGTATAAAAGTTTAAAATGAAGTCATACAAGGTTCCCCACTTACGTGGACCAAACCTTCAAGAGACTAACAATGCATTCTGATTTTCAAATGGCAGACAAAGATTATGAAGCTGCGAATTGAGTTCTCTGAGTCTTTTTGTATATATTGCTTATGATGCACTATTTCTGGTCTAACTCAACCACTTGTTACATATTTATGCCAAAAGGGTATTTCCTATCTCACGGAAATCATCCTGTTGATACTTTTGGTAGGTCTCTCCCTCCCTAGCTCCCTCTCTCTCTCTCTCTCTCTCTCTCACACACACACACACATTCATCCCCTTCTTTCCCTTTTATGATAACTACCAACAAGGGACCAAAGTTTTTATGAACAAGTATAGTTAAAATCTTTCCTTACCGCCTTGGATCTTTCCTGGTACAATTACTTACAAATACAAAATATTTAGTGAAGCTCAGATATGCCCCAAGGTCACACATAACATTGTCAAAGAACCTTGCTTACCTTGTGTAACAAAAAACTGACGGAGCCATGGTATGGCCAAGGGGGCCATGACCAACCCTCAAGTTTTAAAAATTATACTTTAGCCCTCTAAAATTATGTTTACCAACCCCAAGTTTTCAAAATAAGCTTTATATACCTCCAAAATGATGCTATGATTTCATTTTACATGGCCCTATATAGTTTTAAATTTATACTTTATACCTTTACCATTTAATCTTGATTTTCTCTTATGCATTGATTATTATTTGAATACATTTGTTCTACTTTTTCGTAATATGTAGAAAAATAACGAAATTCACTTCTACTAGGGTGATTATGAGATAAAAAAAAATAGCTTCAATTGTTGATTGTTTGATGACTTGATCGCTAATTGCTTACATCTAGTCTTGACAAGTTTGAATTATGTTTTTCAGTTTTATTAAAATAAATAATTCTATAAGGCATTGTATAAAAGTTGATTTTAGTAAATTCTTAATGATAGCTCATTAAAAAGAAAATATCATGTTATGTCCCTATTTGACCCCCTTAGAAAATAATCGCTCCGTACATGATAACAAACAAAATCTACAAAAAAGAAATAAAAAAAAAATTATACAGCATGAGACTAGGGGACAATAGAAATTATCCATCACTTGGGTTTGAATCATGGCAGCCCCCATTTTTCTTATGATTCTTCTGTTCAACCAACTTGGTTTCACCTGACTTTGACTGTATAGTTTATTAAAAAATTTCATGTACAACATGCAATTGGGTCAAAACCTACTTCTAGTTGAATGGATGCCATAAGCAATTAAGTCATACTATCAAATACATAAATTACATTGGACTAAAATTATGAGTTGTTGAAAAATATTTTAGTTTTAAAGATCTTGTAGGTAGGATGTAGCTCTGCCTCGTGTGAATGTAGATGGTTGTGGTTGCATTTGTACGTAAGTACAGTGCACATAAGCAAGCTTTAAAAAAAGGTTGGTGAGGTCATCTCTAAATAATCTTGCCAATGAGGAGATCAACAGAGAATCTCGGCATCTGAGACCTACTGAAACGTATCAAAATGTGAAAAACATATATTCTTCTTTAACGCCTCCATTGATACCGGAGAGAGAAAGCTTGACTGAATGGATGACCTTTATCCATTTTCTTCTTTACAACAAATCAACGAGCTGGTGTTTCAGATCCCATCTATTCTCGGCCAACAAGACACAACCCAACAAGATCTTGTTATAAATCAAGCTTCACTAGAGGGCAGTAATCTCACCACAGGCAGCCTACGAAAAAAGAGCCAGAAATTTCCAGCCATTCAAGAAAATGACAGAAGTGCCGATGATTATAAAGAGAAAAAACTCATACACAGAGATATCGAACGAAAACGAAGGCAAGACATGGCAAATCTTTATGCTGCTCTTCGTTCAGAACTCCCTCTTGAGTATATCAAGGTGAACAAATTTCCTTTTCTCTTTCTTTTCCCACCTTTTCCTTTGTACAATTATACTGTCGTGGTCTGTGAAATTATTTTCCATCCAAATTTCTAAGAAAAAAATTGCCCTCTCCTTCCCAATTTGATGCATTACAGATGACAAGAATTTTGGTATTTTATTTAAATGCTGCATTGCAATTCCCCCCTAAAATAAACCCAACCGCCCTCCCCTATGTGTCAGTGTGTGTGTGTGGTGTTTTTTTTTGGGGAGGGGGATAGGGTACCACTANCACAACGGCCCTCCCCTATGTGTCAGTGTGTGTGTGTGGTGTTTTTTTTTTGGGGAGGGGGATAGGGTACCACTATAGTATGAAGCATTATGCCTTCGGTTGTATTGATGTTTCAGGGAAAGCGTTCATTATGTGATCACACGGATGTGGCTGTGAATTATATACAAAAGCTGCAGCACAAAATAGAAGAATTGGGCATCAAGAGAGACAAGTTGAAGAAGTTCCCCAATTCAAGTTCCGTTGGCCCCGAAAACGAGAGCTCAAGTAGTTCTATGCGTAATATCGTTAAGGTCAGCTCCTGCAAGGATGGTGTTGAGATCTTGATTCACATTGGCTTCATAGATGAAGTGTTCCCCCTTTCAAGAGTGCTGGAAGTTCTCCTTGAAGAAAGATTAAGTGTAGTTAGCTGTCTTTCCACCAAAAAAAATGGAAAGTTACTTCACGTTATTCGATCTGAGGTTGAGTCAACAAACGATTCACTGATATTAGTTCTAGGTTTTATATAAGTAGTTATTTTAGTGGGGAGGAACATTTTAACCTAATTTTATGAATCATCATTGCAGGTCAGTGATCTTACATGCATCCATCTATCCGGGCTGCAACAAAAACTGCTCGACCTGATCAATGACTAGTTACTTTTCAAGTAACAATTTTATTTCCTGCTCAAACCTGAACATGAATTTGTTTGTATGAACCACTGCAGCAGGACATTGATCTTGTACCATCATCGGAATTGATTTTCAAAAAGTTCTCATCGAGACCATCGTTGATATCTTTAACTACTTTATGGCTGATATTTTCAGGTAATTAATGTACAAAGCACCTTGTGAGTTTTTAGCTTGTGATTTTTATTGCCCCATGTGCGATTTTTTGTTCGAATGTTCTTATCCTCTAAATTTCTGCCCTTTAGATTGTGGACAATGGAGTCATATATGGGCAGATGACAAGGAACTGCTCATTTGATGATTCTTTCATTTGTAAGTAGCTTATCACTGATCATAATCACAAACCAGCACCATAGAGTTTAGTAAAAGATTTATATGTTGCATTTTAATTATTTTGGATCTTATCTGTATAGCCATGTCCTCCCAATCCACAGTTTGATTCTTCATAAAATTTTACAAACCAACCCAATCTGTTTTAACAGTTAAAATGTTTACCTACTTTTCTGCACAAGAAGAAGTCGAGTTGTTCTAACCTATAATCTAGGCAAGCAACGTGTAAATAGGGGTTTTTGATATTGTGTGTCGAATAATATCTAGTATAGTTTAGCATAGTATGTATTACTTATGTTCATACCATGATAAAATGCTTCATCCCAAATGGAGAGATTTTGAATGTTCAAAAGCAAACTTACAAATTTGCTACAATGCTGCCTCACAGTTAAGAGTTTCTGGAAAATAAGTAGAAAGGAACATATGGCCACGTGGGAAGTGATATTACTTTATGTTGTTCTTTTTTGTTTACTTTTTTGAGATTTATTCNTACGGAGTTTTTGGAAAATAAGTAGAAAGGAACATATGGCCACATGGGAAGTGATATTACTTTATGTTGTTCTTTTTTTTTTTGCTTTTTTGAGATTTATTCATATATAAATCTATTACTTTATAGCCATAAATTTGTGTTGCTGCAGCATTCATCTTTTGTGGTAGTTTGATGATTTATACACATAAGGTGTGCTCAATTTTATTATCAGATACGTGCTGATAATAAAGTTTTGGAATATGAAATCTAACCTAATAAAAATAATCAGACATGTGAACAACTCAAATATCACGTCGGTCTTTATATCAAAATGTGCCTCATCTTGCGAGTCTCTCTAATATATCTTTGTGGTATATATAGAAGAAAAGGCATAGATATTGAAAAGAGTATGGTTGCTTCATGTCTGATGTCTTACAGGTAAATCATGTTAGCAATTACAAGTACTTATGCACGTAAGTTTCTGATCATGAAAGATGCAATCTGTTGACATTTTGAGGTTGATCTCATGCATTTTCAGTAATCTCAGATACGTTAGCATTGAATTACACGAAACGTCTGCGATCATGATCTCCACCAATAGATATATTATTCTTGGATATCAGCTGCATGTGTAGCACTATACTTGATGGTTTCTTTTCTATTTTTTTTATATATGAGATCCTCTCTAATCACACTTTATTGAACTTGTGGCTGTAGCATATGCTCTGCATACATGTAATGCTCCAGAACCTATACGTTGGGGTTAACCAATCTTCTGTGAAAACTCAAACTTAAAACTTGGAGATAAAAGCCCCAAAGCCCTTCACACCCTAGCCAACGTGATGTGTTACACTTCACTTTTACTTGCCTGATGTTGCGACACTGAACTTATAATTACAGCTTAATAGAGGTATCCTTTTCACCCAAAATCGTGTACAGAAATCCCATAAGGAAAGTGATGGCAGTTGGAACTGTACTGGGATAGTAGAGAGGGGATGAGCCATATCAGATTGAGTTGCTTGATTGCTTGGTTTAATGTTTGCTGTGAAGGATTGTCGGTGTAGTGGTTGGACTTGGGTTGGTGAGGCCTGGGTTGTGGTTTTGTCGCTGGTTTGGTCAGTTTCGCTGGGCAGCTGATGGCCAGGGTGGTTTCGGCAGTGACTGGTTTTGCTTGAAGGCAGTTTGCTGGTGAGGCAGTCTCGGTGGAGGATAGGTTAGGGAGAAGGTTTGGGGTAGGGTTAGGGTCCGGCGTCCGGCTCTAATAACAGCTTGAGAGAAAAAAAATATTCAAATTAAGAGTAGAGTTCCGTATAGTTTAGGCAAAATATAAAATCATAGTAAAGATAAAAAAATAAAAATAAACACTAATAAATTAGATTATACTCTAACAGATTTGTGTATATCCATTTTTGTGTTTCTATGGTATGAACACTCTTTTTTGAAAGTCTGAAGCACAAATCAAATCTTGTCAAATTACAGAAGAGAAATGAACACTTCTATAGTTTACGGAGAGGCTGAGATCAAAGACCGGAACTAAGATTTTATCCCGATGGAAGTCAAATATTGTTATAGTTGATAGTTTTATGCAACAATTTTATTTAATAAGTTATCGTTATAGAGAGGAGCAATGTTATAGAGACCTTATTTAAGACTTTATTTAAAAATTTAATGATGTGATTTCAATACAATCATTAAATTAGCTGTGAGTTCTAATGTTAGATGAAACTTACAACCAATTCAATAATTGTACATCATTAAGTCTCTAAATAAGATTCTCAAATTAAGTCTAAATAGCATTTTCCTATAGACAAACGTTTTTTTTTCAAAAGGAAAACTGAATTCATAAAAGAAAATTACAAGATCAAAACAAAGGGTGATGCTTACATGACAAAATGCATCCGCCCATGTATCAAAATCAATGTTTGTACACTACTTCAGAAAAAAATTAGTTTGACTCATAAAATAACAAAAAAAATATTTTATACTTACCATCATAAAATTCGGTGATTGTTTTATTGTGTAAAGCTGGGTCATTATGTTTAATTATGGGTAACTTGTGTCTGAAGATACTACAATTTGAATGATTTTGATAGAAATACTGGTAACCTTTAAATAAATCTATTTAATACATTCAAATAAATTTATTGAAACCTGACTTGTTTTATCTTATGGATATTTACTTGACCTACCGACATATTTTGTGTTGGCCCTATGCTATGCATTGAAAATTGACAACCAAGAAAATCATCATTTTCAAACGTGTTTTCTTCTAATGCATTTGAATTATGAAAGCGATAGCCAGAAATTTTCATAGTCAAAGATGTTGAGAGCTAGCCCCACAAATTATTTTCTTAGAATTAGGTTGTTGTGAGATCATAAGAATATTACTTTGGGTGAGATTTTTGTAATTTTCTTTTTTTTTTTATTGAAGGAGAGAGAGTTTCGTTGAGTTAGGGACGGGGAAGGTGGGGGCAATGGGAGCGCAATTGCGCCCCTCTGCAATTCAAACTTATTTGGGGTTTATTTAAAACGTTATGAAATTTACAAATTTTAAATATTTTCTACCACAAAAGAACTTGTAAAAACTTTATGAATATTTTTATATTTTCAAACTTTAAATGAAATTCTTTCATAAATTTTAGAATGTATGTGTGCCAATAGACTAGATTTTGACCAGCACCTGATTAGATTTTGAATTCAATTTAGTTTGGATAAACTGATATTTCTAACCAATTATCTCAATCTAAATCGATTATATAATATTTCACGAACTTTGATGTAAATATACTAAAATTCTATTTCATGGAATGAAATTAAAATTAAGATGAATATTTTTAAAATTCAACTTTACTCGACTCATAGATTCAATTGAATTTTTAATATTTGAATGATTCAGATGTGGAATGTAAAAGCAAAATTCATTAGATAATTGAATTGAATTCAAAGAGGATATTTTAAACTAGATTCGGAAAAGAGCTTTCCGATCATATCTAAATCACTTAAAATTTGATCCAAATTCGACTACTTACTATTAATTCTCAAAATATAATAATTTTTTTTGATTATAATCTAATCGTGGTCTTCGACCTAATAATTGTTCCATAGTGAGGAAAAAATCCTCTTTCTGCCCTGATTTGAGTAATAGAATAGAATGTGAATGCAAGCCAAGAATACACTGAGTGACATCATAAAGGTGTAGACTGATTCGTTGCCAATAGACTCAGATTCTGAGAGTTGTGAGATGATTGGTTTAGTCTACTTTGCTGTCTGGTCTATACTAGGCATCCTAATTATAAACGTGTTTCACATTGGGGGGGGAGGGGGGGGAGAAGACAGCTAAAAGGAAAAAGTAAAAGTGCCGTTAAGCAAACAGTTCGATTACAAATTTTCTAATCCCCCAAACAAAAGAAATGTTTTTCTGAACTTTTTGGCCCTGTGTCCTCTCTTGCTATAACGATAGCACTATTATTTAGCATCGAAAAAGCAAATTTTTGTTATAATACCTCCAAATTAGAGATTGGAGTAGGCTGGGGCAGAGGTAGGGGACTAGTCTCCAAACTTGTACTCGCTTAAAAAAATTTAGTTCATACTTAAGTCACACCTATTAACGGGCTCAAATTTAATCCCCACCCCCGCCCCTATCTCTTCCATCTGTCCCCCGCACATAATGGTCAATCATCTAGAATGCATTGTTTTATGGTTTTAGCCCCAGTCAATGGCTTTTTTTTTTTTTGACATTTTGTCAATCATCTAGTATGCATAAAAGAAAAGGGGTGGAGGCTATGTTTTTCTTTTTATATGTCGGTGTGAGTGTTCTAGACAACTGGTTGTGCATTTTTGTGTGTATTTGAGTCTATTTTGAAAAAAAAAAAAAGGAAAGTAAGAAAAATTAAAACCCAAAAAAGGAAAACTGGATTGTTTTTCTTCACTCTGACATTTCATTGACCACCTATATCACAAGGTGTTTATTTTTAGTTTCATTTTTGCTGAGGGTCATTTTTCTTCTCTTTGATATTTTGTCAATCAGCTAGTATGCATAAAAGGGGTGGATCCTGCATTTTTGTGTGTGTGTCTGAGTGTATGCTTAGTGTGTGATGTATCAATGTGTACTGTGTGCATGGTGGGTGTGTGTGGGTGCTATGAGAAAAGTGAAAGAGCATAGAAGAGAAAAGGGGAAAAAAAGAACACTAAGCTTAGGAGAGTCGTCAAATTTTTTAAGTCATCGGACTTTTGCCAATAGTGGTGATAAGACACGAAGGGGGGGATAAAATTGGTGGCGGTGTCGTTGGGGCAATGGTGGTGTCACTAGAGATGGCGAGAGAAAGGAGAAAGGGGAAGAAGATTAAATGCGACAGAATTGAGGAAAATATATTTAGAGATAAAATTCAACCTTTATATATAAATAACGGATTTAGCAGGAATAAGTGTCAGTTCATTTTCACCTCCATCTATATGTCAACTATCATACATATGGGTCTATGCTCAATCAAAATAGAATGGGGTTTGGACGAATCATATTGT